AGTCAGAGCATGGCTAACTCACAGGTCAAACCCTGAAATAACCTCTGGGCTGATCTAAGTCAGAGCATGGCTAACTCACAGGTCAAACCCTGAAACAATCTCTGGGCTGATCTAAGTCAGAGCATAGCTAACTAACAGATCAAACCCTGAAACAACCTCTGTGCTGATCTAAGTCAGAGCATGGCTAACTCACTGATCAATGCCTTAAACAACCTCTGGGCTGATCTAAGTCAGGACATGGCTAACTCACAGGTCAAACCCTGAAGATCAAATTCAGGGCACAGCAAACTCACAGTTCAAATCCTGAAACAATATATTAAGATGCAAAGTATTTCACTTACTTTTTATACATACAGGAAGAGTGCCCATGTACACTCCGTCTCGGTAACATTGGATGCGGTCTTGCCCGTGTAGATGGTAACCTGGCACACATTTAACTCTATAACTATCTTTCACTCTAGTTGCAACAAGTTCACCATTCTCAATATGAACGCCTGGACACGGCGAATAACGGGTTATAGGTTTAATAGTAGTAGGGTATTTTTTCCCGTGGATTTCCTTCGGGTTGCCAATATCAACGCCGTTTTTACTGTTAGTATTTTCCCCTCCGTTTTGATTGTTTCTTTTCGTGTTGGAGTTTCTGTTTTCATTCTTGCTGTTTTTATTGCCTTCTTTATTTTTATCATTATCGTTATTATTGTTCCCGTTCTCCGTATTGCCATTGTTTTTATCTCCTTTTCCACCCCCAAATTCATTCCCTTTGCTATTTCCGTTGTTTGTGTTTCCGCTTCCCTTGTTGTTATTTCCATTTCCGTTGTTGCTATTTCCGTTTCCTTTGTTGTTGTTATTTCCATTTCCGTTGTTGCTATTTCCGTTTCCTTTGTTGTTGTTGTTTCCATTTCCGTTATTCTCATTTTCGCTTCCTTTATTGTTATTTCCATTTCCGTTGTTATTATTTCCGCTTTCTTTCTTGTTATTTCCATTTCCGTTATTGTTATTTCCGCTTCCTTTGTTGTTATTCTCGTTTCCGTTTTTATTATTTCCGCTTCCTTTGTCGTTATTTGCATTTCCGTTGTTGTTATTTCCGTTTTCTTTGTTGTCATTTCCATTTCCATTGTTGTTATTTCCGCTTCCTTTGTTGGTGTTATTTGCATTTCCGTTGTTGTTATTTCCGCTTCCTTTGTTGTTGTTATTTCCATTTCCGTTGTTGCTATTTCCGTTTCCTTTGTTGTTGTTATTTCCATTGCCGTTGTTGCTATTTCCGTTTCCTTTGTTGTTGTTATTCCCATTTCCGTTGTTGCTATTTCCTTTTCCTTTGTTGTCGTTATTTCCGTTTCCTTTGTTGTTGTTATTCACATTTCCCTTGTTGTTATTTCCGGTTTCTTCGTTGTTGTTATTTCCATTTCCGTTGTTATTATTTCCGTTTCCGTTGTCGTTATTACCGTTTCCGTTGTTCTTATTTCCTTTGCCGTTGTTATTTTTGTTTCCGTTGTTATTATTTCCGTTTCCATTCCCATTATTGTTGTTCGGGTTTCCATTTCCGCTTCCTTTCCAGTTGTGACCTTTATTATTGCCGTTGCCATTTTCATTAGTATTATTATTATCGCCGTTATTATTATTTGTATTTCCGTTATTATTATTTTTATTTCCGCTTCCAGTGTTACCCTCATTTCCCTTTCCATCGCCGTTCGTACTACTACTTCCGGTACCTCTGCCCCCTGAGCCAGAGCCCGCAGATCCTTTGGAATGCGATACCGTACTTCTCGTAGGAGGTGTTGTGGRACTCTTTATTATTTCATATTGTCTTTTTGTCACTGTAAAAAAATAATAAGACAATATAATTTCTAAATGACAGCAATATAATTGAAAAATTATAACATCAATACTAATAATATAAAAATTAATTAGTTAGTAATATGTTATTGTTATAATATTATTTATTTAGTAATATATTCAATTGTGAACCATTGTGCAAAATACAAGTGAGTTGAGTATTGTGTAAGTTCCTACCTGCCTTAACAACACCAGAAAAACTGATATTCTTATCACTCCTGGATATATTGACTGTAACAATCCCAGTCGTCGCGAATGATGGCACCCTGCAAAAGGCACGACCGTCCTTGAATTCTCCAGGAAAACGTTGTGTGTCATTGTAAACACACTCAAAGCCGTGCTCAGGCCAGAGGCACGCATCTGGATAGGTTATGTTGCCAGATGTGTTAAAAATAAATATATTTGGCTGCAATGTTATAGAACCTGTGTGAGAAGAAACAAAAAAATGTAGATTATATTTAGTCTTTTCGCTTTATTCGTATGATGCTTCCCTATGGTATCTTATAGCTTTTTTCATTCTTCATTCTTTTCGTTTGCCGTTGTTTTTTTCGTGCATTTGTCTTTATTTATTAACTTATTCAGCTCTTCCTTCCTTCATTCTTTTCATCCATCCACCCATCCATCCACCCATCCATCCATCCGTCCGTCCGTCCGTCCGTCCGTCCGTCCGTCCGTCCGTCCGTCCGTCCGTCCGTCCGTCCTTCCTTCTTAACAAAATCCTACACACCTTTTGTCCTACAGATATCATTTTCAAGCTTGTCAACTCCATCATGTAGTCGGAACACCCATTTCCCTGAATAGCCAACATTACTGGTCTCCGCTAAGCTTACAACATCTTTTGTTCTTGAGAAAGGCAGCTTGTAGACCACAGACTCAGCGATGATTCCAGACTGAAGTGAATAATGCTGGTTAGTATAGGAAAATAAGGTCTATAACTTTAAAAAACTAACAACGCCTTATTTTTTATCGTTTGATGTAGGGTTGCAATTTGTATAGGAAATCGCACGATCTCGAGTACAATTCGGAATTTATAGGTACGAGTGAGGCTTTGAAAGTTTTCAAAATTGGACGAGCCTTTTAGGTGAAAAAATTAATAAAAATTACCTTTTCAGTAATTTAAAATTTTCGCGCACTGTGATTGGTCGAACGACCAGGGTCGTAGGCGGAAGTATATTCACCAAAGCGGAAGTAAAAAAAATCTGTTTTTCTTTTCCTGAATTTTCTCGTTTCAATGATATTCAAGTCTAAAACTATTCTAGAACGACTATTCGACAAGTACTAAAGCTCAGTGATAACTCTTTGTAATAAATTGTCCAAAGGGGTATATTTTAAAGCAGTAGTATCTGATTGGTTCCCTACTACTACTATTACAGCTGTTTTGCATATGAGCACAGAAAAAAAAAAAAAAAAGACAGACAGACAGAAACTGGTCAAGAAAGGATTGGTTTGCAAAGAAAAGCTCTTTATCCACATTTGTAATCGTATAAAAGGCTACTAGACTTGAAAATCCCCTTAGAAGCAAATACTTAGCAGCAAAGTATCGTCTAGAGGTAAGAATATTATCAGGAATACACTCGTTTTTCTTGCAAAATTATAATATGACTTTTGATTCAAAATGTCGGTGTAGTGCGAAAATAATGAAAGTTCTATAGAAAATGTTAAAATTCTGAATGAAATTAAGACTTAAACAACTTAAAATAGTAAAAGGAAAGTAGTTCAAAAGTAATAGAAGTTAGAAATATTGTATTGAAGTAAAAATGATGATTTTYTTCCATATGATATGGTGACGAATTCATAAATTCAAAACAGAACGTGCCTTTCGTGTAGTCAAAACAATACATTCTCATTCAAAGCCCAATTTTCTGCTATTTTGTGTTTGTATTACTTTAAGTTGAATGAAAATCTTTCGTTTGACTCCTCTTTCGCTCTTCTGTCCTTAAAATTTCAAGTTCAATTGAACTTTTTTGAAGAAAACAGAATGTGTGAGTCCCAGTAGAAGTTTTGTCTGTCTGATCACAACTTTATGCAAAGCACAAAATACTACTCCTACCTTATAGATTTTGTATAATTTTCTTTAACACATGTAGGAAACTGCAATTCATGGTTTACGTTGAAGCTGAATCAATGATACCATAATAACAAAAAAAAGATCCTCGAAAAATTCCTCATGTTTAAATCGTTTCCACAAATGATGTCACGTTTGTACATAGATGAAAAATGAAATGCGGACAAGCCAATCCCAGCGAACATGTTAATATGCTACAAAAAAAAATTTTTTTTTTTTTTTTTTGGTCTTTTTGTTTCCAATTTCTGTAAAAACTGTGTTTTTTTGACATATATCAATATTTTTTCTCATGCAAGCGAATGCTTTGTTTACCGGAAGTTCGTCCGTATTTCGATCCCACAAGGCTTTGCGATATCTATTTTTATTAGCGGAGAAAACCCCTATGGTCGTACGTATTTTGATATCGATGACGTCATTTCCATTGTTTTCAACAAGTTTTTGTTTGTGAATGTACATATATTWTAAAAAGAATATTTCACGTTGGCTTGAAGATATGAAGTTTATTCTTCTTGTGTTCGCTGCGCTCACTTGTGAAATATTTTCATCACTCGAAAATAAACTTCATATCTTCGCGCGCCACTGTGTAATATCCTCTATAAACATAAAATGCAAGTGTACCTGAGCTGCGTGTCCACCTAACCCTTTCTTGTCTCCATTATTTAACGTGCCAGTCGTCCAATCCAAGTGATCGTAAAGAAATGTCACAAATGACGATTGACCATCGGTGGATATAATAGCCTGGAATGTGTTTGCCTGAAAATAGAAAGTGTTGCAGCGAGGATTTAAGACTGTAGCAATAAATAAGCCATAAATAAATAAGCCACAATAGCCATAATATATTATAGCAAACAGTACTTTTTTAATATTTAAAAAGAGGTAAAAAAAAATACGACAAAAAGAGGGGCGGACAAAAAAAATGAGGGAATAAGTAAGTGTTTCATTTTAATAGGCCTCAAGTGCGTTTGATACGTTTAAAACCTACACTTTCAAAATCCTTTTCGGTAGCTTTTTTTRTTTTGTTAATGTTCACTAGTGTCTTGGTATTCTTGGTATTAGTAAATGTTTCATTTAATAGGTCTCAAGTGCTCATGATGACGTTTAAAACCTACACTTTCAAAATCCTTTTTGGTAGCTCTTTTTGTTTTGCTAATGTTCACTAGTGTCTTGGTATTGTCAAAGGAGTTTATTCATTTGAACATGAAAAGAGATTACGATAATGATTGTGGTAGTTTAGGCATGAAACCTCATCTATTTTACGTCGTTTTTTTAAAAAAGCGATGTGTTTATTTTAAAGAGTATCTCACCAAATCATTGTATTTACTACTTCTACCATAATACGCCACTCTCTCCCAAGTAACTATCAACGTCCATGTTGAATTAAAACCCAGAAAATGTTGAAAGCTTCGAAGAATATCTTCATTTGCCCGAATGAGGTCCTTGGATTCTCTAGATACTCGGTACCAGACTTCTCCTCCTATGTGAGTGTCGACGTCGGCCCAGTAAGGCGCGATAATTGTCTTGTCTTGTTGTTGTGATATGTCGATTGAGTGGTAAGTTCGTAGTCTCTTGTTGAATGATATTACTCCATTGGAGTTGATCTGAAAAAGAATAAATACTAGTTTTGAAATGGTTTTGAGTAGCATGCCAAGGAGTTAGTCATTCTGAAGTTGAGCCGAAAAAGATTGGTTCCAATTTGGGCTGTCTTAGGTAATTTCCGTCTATTTCGACCAATATAACAGAAGAGTCCCTTTTCTCAAAGAATACCGCCGCGGTTTCATGACTAAAGACTCATCTGCACAGGCTTAGCTTAGCTTGAGAGCAAATCATTTGCAAAGTCAATTGTAACGGTAAAGAATGTACAACTTGAACAATAACAATGTTTTTGTTAAAATTCCATGGACTTTAATGGTATCTGTGAATGGCTGTGTTATTGACGAGGCATCCATTCATCCCATCCATCCATCCATCCATGCATCCAATCAGATCACATTCAATGTATTATTTGTACCCACCCACCCCCTCCATCCATCCATCCATCCATCCATCCATCCATCCATCCATCCATCCATCCATCCAT